CTCACGAAGTTGATCGACTAAAAAAACTTGAACAAACGAATCCCCAAACCAAAACTCACGACTACAGCCGATCGCTTTATCGACCAGTCAGAGATCCATTCCGAAAGAATCCCGAAGGGCGAAGTCAGAATGGAAGCGCCGCCTTGCCGTATTCGACTGCGACTAAAATATTTTACGACGAAGAAGATGACAGAATACCTTATGAGGACCCAGATCACGTGGTTCAGTCGTGGTCACGTGCTACTGATAAGTTCGTTCAAGAGCGTTTTCAATACGAAAGCAGTAGTTATTCTTCAAGCACTATTTCTGTAGTTAAAACAAAACTGAAACCTAAAAGACAGACTCCGTCCGATGGATCCGTTACATCTAGCACGAGTGCAAGCAGTAGTGAAAATGATTTGTTTGATGATGATGATGATGATGATGAAGATACTTCGAGTGAAGATCAAACCACAACTATCACTAAAAATGCTTCAACGACATTCTATACTCGTAGCACTAGTAGTGTAAGTTCTATTAGCAGCATCCCCACTATTCCTTCACCAGACAGCTCAACCGTCGAGCCCGAAACACAATCGATAAAACCTACAGAACCCATAGAAGGTCAAGAAGTATCGAGATCCAAAAAGCCGCGATTTATTCACTCGGTGCATCAAAAGGGTCTTAATTCTTTGTCTACCTTTTATGCTGCCCATCCTCAATTCATTGTCCTGCCTGCATACATGCCTGCAAGGAAGATTTCCAATCAATGGCAGCCTTTTTGATCAGTCATTTTGTCTTTAATTACCAAGGAAAAAAGAAACTGCGCGCGTTGTGTTCGGGTCTATTGTCCTGGTGCATGACTGTCAAGGCGAGGTCTTGTGCAGCGAAAGCGGCGAGTCATAAATCGGCATCGTTAGTGTTATTTTCCGTCAGCAACAAAATAACCAAGGCCAGTGCATGCGCACAATTAAATGATGAACCGCATGGTCAATTACAATAATGGCGGACAATAAGCGTAAAGAAAGTGTCTTTTCATTTGGGACGATACTTTTCCTAAACTTGGAGACAGATTACTTTACGAGCGAATATTGCGAGAGAATAAATTCTATCGTGAAGGATTCTTCTATTGCTTTTTAAAAACTCGATATCAAAACGGCTATTTACGAGTGAGCATTCAATCGCACGACAACGAGAACAAAACTAGCCTCAGATATCATCTCTAAGCATAAATCGACGACGACGTCATTGTACTCGTGATCCCGAACCCAGTAGAATATCTCTTAGAACTCTTAATCGTCTATAAAGAGCAAGAGTAGGATGTTAAAGCATGCTTTGTCTGTACTACAATATACCGAATTCATGTGTTCTCATATTTTAATCTTAAAGAAAAATCCTTTCAAAAAATAGATATATGTTCCAAAGTTACCAAGATATAATAAATTTACAAAAAAGGAGAAAGTTGTTATGTGCATATTGACCCAAACAAAACAATAATAGCACCATATAGGTTCAGAACAAAATTGTGTCGCAATGATTTTATGCTCCTTGATTTGGAAGTAATAAACCAGGAATTTACTCTACTGATTATCTCATACCATGC